AATCTTCTCAGTGCAGGAATCCAAATCAAAGCAGATCTGATGGATGGTTGTCCAATTTTATCTTGAATGCCTCCAACATTGGAACGCTCACTGCTCCTGAGGTAACTGGTTCCATTGTTGTACTGCTCTAACAGTGAGGATGCTTTCCTGATATTCATCCAAAATTTGGCTTCCTGCAACTTGAGCCCATTATTATGTGTCCTGTATTCTGGGTCAGTCAAGAACAGATCCTGGCCCTCCTTTGCGAGACAATCAGTCAAGTATTTGTACTGCTATCATACCTCTTATAGGGCTTGTTTTCTGGTCCCCTGGTCATCATTGCCCTCCCCTGACTGGTGCCAGTTTGTCAGCATCCTTCTTGAAGTGCAGTGTTCAGAACTGGACACAGTACTCAAGGTGAGGATTAACCAATGTCCAATACAGAGGGACTAATACTTTATGGAATTTGGAGACTATACTTCTGTTAATGCAGCCTAAAATAATATTTGCTTTTTTTGCAGCAACATCACACTGTTGGCTCATATTTAGCTTGTGATGTACAGTTCTAAGAGCCTTCTAGCGTATAGTATTACTAAGCCAAGTACTCCTATCTTGTAACTGTGTGCGTCATAATTTTGCACTTATCCCTGTTAAATTTCATTGTTATTTTCAGTCTAGTGCTGAAGCCAATCAAGATCTATTTTGAATTTTGTTCCTGCCTTTCAAGATATTACCTATTACATCAAATTTTGTGTCATCCTCAAATTTGATAATTATTCCCTGCACCCACTCATCCCTTAATAAAAATGTTGAAGAGCACCAAGCCCAGGACTGAGCCTTATGGCACTCCACTTGTTACCTCCTCCCAGTTTGAGAAGGAGCCACTGATAAGCACCCTCTATGATTCTGTAACTAACTTGTGCTATCTAGTGCCCAAACCTAGTTAGCCTGTAAATCAGAATATCATGGGACACTTTGTCAAAGGCTTTGCTGAAGTCAAGATATATTACATTTGCAGCATTCCCACCATCCACAGGGAGATTACCCTATCAAAAATGAGATAAGATTAGTCTGACAGGATTTGTTCTTGACAAATTAATGTTGGCTTCTAGTTATTATTGTGTGTTTTTTTTCAAGGTAGTTGCATAGTGATCACTTTATCATCTGCTCCCAAATTTTCCCTGGGATTGATGTCAGGCTGATTGACCTGTGCTTCCTCCTTTTCACCTTTTTTTGAAGATAGAGGCAATATTAGCCCTCGTCCAATCATCCAGCACTTCACGCATCCTCTATGATTTCAAGAAAATTATAGACAATGGTTCTGAGAGTTTGTCAGCTAGTTCCTTCAACACGGGTCTGAAGATTTGAACTTGTTCAAAATAATAAAGCCCTTTTGAAATACTTCTTCGTGCTGTGGCCGAACACATTCTTCCCAGTTCTTACGAGGTGCAACCCCTCACCTGCCAGCAATCCATCTTCCAGGAAGCATAGTCCATAGTCCCAAAATCCAAATCCCTCATTTTAGCACCAGCTTTGTAGTCAGTCGTTCATCCACAATATTTTTCTTTCCCTTTCTATTCCTTTTCTGTGTGAATGAAAAGAATATCTGTGCCCCAAAGGCCTTGAGTTTCCTTCTCAGAGCTCCGAAGTCTGATGTGATTTCTTCATTGTTCCTCTTGACCATGTCATTTGTTCCAATGTGGATGCGTAGACACCCATGGGGTTTAAGAGTAATAGCAATTCTTCCATCACATTCCCGATCCATTCTCCAGGGAGACAGCATATGTGGTGGGTCCCCGGATCTTCCTAGTATATTTCAGTTTCAGTCCAATGCAGTAGGGAGTCTCCTGATACAACCACTCATCCTCTCTCTTTCTCTTTGTGTCTTGCACATGTATGCACTAAGACAGACACACACCACAACAAGATATCCTACTGCTAGAGACTGAATGATGCACACTACTGCTGTTTCTCCTTGCCATCACCATCTCTCCCCCATCACCTCTCAATGATGGGAAACCTGAATTTTGAAATAAGGATGGGGAACCATGGGTCTCCAGACTTCCAGCATAGCAATTGTGGGGACACATAGGAGCTGCAGTCAACAACATCTGGAGGGCCACATGTTCTCCATTCCTTGTATAGATCGATGATGATGATGATGATTATGATAGTAGACTGCAAAGCTGGGAGGTATCCTATGGATAATTGAGTCTAGCCCAGGTGGCTGTTCAACTATACACACAAATCCTGAAACAATGATTACCATTTCACCAGAAAAATGTTACATCTCTTTTTTAGCAGGGAAGACTGGAACCAGCTGGCTCATTTTTCCTTTCACTCTGCTGTGCAGATGCTAATTCTTAATGGGCAACCCGAATGATCTTGCTGTCCCTTTTCAAAAATCGTTAACGAGATAGACATTCCTTCACACAGAGATCTGTCCTTTGCTGGTGGACTTACTCAGAACGCCCCCCAAACAGATTATTGTTTTCCATGATCACCTTGTTTCCCAACACTAGGTTAATCACACTGTTGTTCTGTGCTATCAGGTCACATCAAACTTATAGTGAGCTCAAGATTTTTTCTCCAGGTGTTTGAGATACTTAAGGAGTGTTTTTATCTGTTCTCCCACAAGTTTCCATGGCCAATCAGACAGTTCAACCTAGGTTTCTTGAGTCCTAGCCAACTGCTCCCTCTGTTACGCCACACTGACTCTCAATCTCATGATGCATAAAAGGAATATATAATATTTCATTACCTGAGAGAAAAGTTGCCTAGAATCCTAAATGGGGAAAAAGCCCCCTTGCTACCCTCTCTGGGAGAAGCGCACTTTATTTGGGCAACAGCAGCATTTACTGTCCAGTTCTATTGATCTTCATTAACTTAGCATCTTCTAGGCTGATGTGTGTTTGTTGTAACCTGAGAGAGACATCAGTGGAGCTGCCTAATGTTTCCTTAGTTTAGGGATGATTCATACGAAAGCACATCATCTCTTCAATATAAACTCACACTGCAGAACATGCAGCACCTTATAATCTGGCCTGACTTCCCATTCCCAACTCAAGGTATCTGAAATACATTGCTGTACATTACTGGGGATAAACAAGCAGTGTATCATACTTAGCATACAAGATGGATGCCAACATGCTGGAACTCATATACTTAGGATTGATGCTATTCATTCCCAGCTTGATGTGGGAGAAATTTATTGGACAACTGAGCTAGTGGGGTTTGTCTGCAGTGCAAATCAAGTCAGTTTCCTTTATTTGTATCATATTTCTGTTTCAATCAATTTGTGCCAAAGAAGACGTATGTGGCTTAGTTTGTCTTCCTCAGTTAGAATGTGTATGCCAAGGCCTGCAAAAGGATGTAAGGATATGGAGTATCCACACCCCCATCCCTGGATGCAAACTGAACCAAAAGGTTTGTCATCCAGAAAACAACGCTTACAAATCAAAAGCCCATTCAGACACAAGAGGAAGAAGTACAACTGCATTTCAGTGTATCCATGTTTATGTAGCACGGGACACATTGTCGGTGAGGTGGGGACAAGGGGGTGCCCCAGTCAGGAGCAGATTTGGGGCACTCCGGACAGACATTTGTTTTCTCCCAGTACTGGGACTCTACGCCCAACATAGGTGCCATCATAATTATATATACATATATATTTGAATAATACAACTGAAAACCCAAGCCAGTGTCCTACTGCTAGACACAGAATGGAAGGACAATTGAAAAAGTGTCCTCTTCATTTGGCATGCCTTCTGTTGCACATCTGTTCTTGCACTAGTTGTGAGAACAGTTGCACAAACACATCACGTGACAAGGAGCCTGCCAGAGGGGAGGGGATGGGAGGGCACTCGCATGATTGCTCTTCTCCTCTGCGTTGAGGCAACAGGCCACAGTTAAATTTTTCTATTAAAACATAATTAAATGCATCATCATATTAAAACAACCACTAAATTCAAAGAGTTTAAAAGCTGTGTTAAAAACACGTCAAAGAAAAAGTACAGCACAGCCCTGCCTCGGGGGAAAAAGTTCTCCCCAGCCAGGCTGCTTATCAAAAAGGCCTCCCTTGAAGGCACCCCCCACATGTTTGTATGGGAAGGTAGTCTGTACTGAACTTCCACAAGGCATGTAGAGTCCTTTCCCTTTGTGACATAGTTTAGATGAAAAGGCCATCTCCCTTCTCTAAAATGATGGAAACTATGTCTGAAATACACAGTTATACCCATTTGTTACCACTTTTAACTGTTAGGTCGATCATTTAGTGAGGTACAGTACTCAGATCTTAGTGCTAGAGAGATACAAGGAACTGCACTGAATTACACCGAAGCTCCCTTGTGGAATATTCTTATTAAACAACAAATTACAGAAATCCATAGGATGGAACCATGGCCCATAAAAGTAGTATAAAGTTCCTATTATGTGTGGTGCAGATAACACCTTTCATGATGAATTCCAAGTAACCAGTTATTTCTACTTAGTTGCTTCTAACCTCTGGTTGTTACTATTCATAAGCAAGTCATACACTTGATATTGGCAATTGTGGGGCCAGGCAGGATCCTTGAGGAACCACTTCAAGTTTTAAGGTTTTCCCTTTGCTTGTTTGTGTGTATCCTTGTTCCATTCAAAGGGACAGAACTGGAGGATGCTCAGAATAAAATTCCCAGTAATGGGTGGTAGTGAAAAATAAGGCATCTCATCCAGCTACAACCATGCATCTTATGACTTATAGGTTGGATGCAAAATAGTAGACAGGCCTATGATTAATCTACGTATGCAAATAAAAGGGAAAATGGGTAGCCGCTGTACTATATATATATGGTGCTAGTTACTGCAATTTCAAATGTTTGATGAATAGGGTCCTTAATGGAAAGTCCTTGTAAGAGAGGTGTTGGTAAGAGATTCATGACTTTTCTAACCCCGTGAAAGAGTTGTCAGGTGTTGCAGGGTGGGAATGAAGGGGGGGGGGAGCAAGGCGAAACTGTATTTCCCTTCCATGTCCTGGCACTTACCATATGCTGGATAACAGACTTTCATACAGCAAACAGTGCTGAGAGCTGTCAGGCTGGTAAGACTGCACAGGCCAAAGAGAACTCCACAAAAAGCATAGAAGGTGCACATGGCATGGTTGAACAGCCACCTGGAAATGAGAGATAACTAGCAGAAATAAATAATCTTCCCATAAGGTGTTCTGCCCTGCGGATCGCCGTGAGAAAGCAATTTATTATTTATTTATTATGAATATTTATAAACTGATTATGTGGGACAAATTCAAACCAGGGAAGAAAAATAATTTTGAAATAGGCAATAAACACAGGGCATAAAAATGAAGCTGCAGTATTTACATTGACCATAAAAATGCACCAAATTAAAATACAGTATTTATGTTATCTGTAAAAGAGATACTAAGTTGGGATATAGAAGGAAAGCTTGCACAACCAGATAACCTTTTCAATACACAAAATATTCGACTGTGTTGAATTTCTGAGGGAAGAGTGTTTCACAGAGTGGGCAACAGCCCACTAAATACCTTATTTCAAGCAATCATAGGCAAACCTTTTGGAGAATATGGCCCCACCAGAAGATGATCAAGGATCAGATGGGTTTGTAAAAGGAAAGGTATTCTCTCAGGCAATCATATCCCAGTAATGCTTTAATGTTGTTTATCTAAACTGCAGTTTTCTCTATGATTTTAATGAGTATACACAAATCTGCATACACTTAAAGAGTATGCACAAATCTGTAATTATATATTCCTAATTACAGATTTGTGTATACTCTTTAAGATTCCTGTCTATCTATATACCTTTGATTGTAGGAACAGTTCTTTTTGGAGTTAGAACTCTTCCAATCCCTCAGTCCACAAGTCCAGGGATCAAGGCTGAGTTAGGGTCCAAAAATGTCCTTTTCTAAGTTCTGATTCATGCGCCTATTTTGTAGTCAGAAAACTTGCATTCCACAACCTAAATAAATTACTGTTCATCATACCACTATTTATACTCTCCATATACCAAAAACTGGGCATCGTAACGACATGTTTCTAACATAAAGATGACAGTTTGTTATATATTTTATAAATTAAACAAACACATGTACTGTATATTAAATTTTTATTAGGATATGTCAACCTGCTTCTGCTAGCCTGAGAAAGGAGCAATAAACCATGTAGTTCACTCTTAGGATTATGTGTGTGTGACTGTGAAGGAACACGTCTTGTATGGGCTTTGACTGACTTGGTCTCTCTCGAGCACATGGATCCTTTGTGTTGCAGTCAGCATTCGTGAGATTGAAAAGTTCTGAGCCCAAGATGCCCAGCAGTTTCAATGAAGGAGATGGAAATTGAAAAGACTTAGCTGCTGATGCCAAAAGAGAAGGCAAGTGACAGCTAAATCCTCTCCTGCAGTGGGAATTTCTCAAAGGTGTGTGCTTCAGGAATCAGGTTGGCAAATTAAGGCTGTATTTATCTCCCAGGGACCAAAAACAAAATAAAGCACAGAAATGCAAGATATATAGCTGAGGGGGAAAAAAAACCCGCATCAGGATATGCAGATGTCTTTCACCACATAGTTCAGTTGGACTGTAACCTTCTGACTAATTCCATGTGGAATAACTGCTGAAATCACAATCTGATTCAGATTTGGAAGAATTTGCTTCACCTTATTGCCTAAATGTATTGGAGGCAAGGGGACAGTTGCATACTACTGCAGTCTTCATGTCATTAGAAAAAGCAGATGACATGTAAGTATGGATTTCAAAGAGTCTTAATAGACTCAAGTATGGAGCTTCTCTTCATGGCAGATAACCCACTTCCTACAAGAGATTTCTGGGTCCAGTCAAAGCTTGGAAATGTTACTTTTGGGGCTACGATTCTCACAACCACATGCTGGCTTGGAAATTCTGGGAGTTGTAGTTTCAAAACTTTCTAAGCTCTGACTAGGAAAGAAGAGCTTAAGTCCTCAAGTCTTCCCTTCATTTTGGTAGGCTTGAAAAAACAAAATTTATATTGTACAGGGGGTGGGGAGAGCTAATTATCTTTTCTCTGCAGTATAACACCAATGCAATTGTGCCATGCCCCAGCTACATTTTTGCAATGAGAACCATGTGGGGAACATGTTTGACCTTGAATCTAAGCAGGAAAGAAATCTAATCACAGCCTGGATGGGAAAGAATTAGAAAATGTACAGAAGCGCTTCTGAGCTAATGGAAGAGTAGAGTCTAAGTTTATAGTGAATGAAGCGAATGGATGAATGACCACATGGGGCACATTACCTGTGTGCAAAGAAGGATGGTGTGGCCAGTGGAAAGAGGATCACAGTCATGCCCACATCACTGATGGCGAGGTTCACGATAAAGAACTCAGCAGGTTTCAGGATGGCCCTCTTCCGAAACGCTACCAATAAGAGGAGAGAGTTTCCAAAGAGGGACACTACACCTGAGAGAGAGAGAGAGAAAACAAAAGTAGAAATCAGACTGAAATTCATGATGAAGCAATAATAATATATACAGTGGTGCCTCGCTTAACGAGTGCACCGTATAGCGATGTTTCCGTATAGCGATCCCTTTTTCGGGATCGCTATACGGAAACATACCCGATCTTCGCAATGGGGAAAACCCGCATTGCGAAGATCGGGTATTGCGGCGGGCACTTTGGAGCCACCAAACAGCTGATCGGCGGTTCCAAAATGGCCACCGGAAGCCCGGAAATGGCTGCCGGCAGCCGTTTTCGCGCCCTGCCCTCGCTTAGCGAAGGCGCAAAAATGGCTGCCGGCACCTGGAATCCTCGCTGAACGGGTAAGTAACGAAGGTATTGGAACGCATTAAACGAAGTTTAATGCGTTCCAATACCTTTCCCCTACCCGTTTAGCGATGATTCCGTATAGCGAGGGTTAATCCGGAACGGATTAACCTCGCTATACGGGGCACCACTGTAATTGTGTAAAAATTAACCAAATCAGGAATATACAGTACATATGTGCACTATTGGGGCAACCAAAGGGGTAGATCAAAGAGCCCAGAGATGTTAATCGAAGCAATAATAATATATAATTGTGTAAAAACTAACCAAATCAGGAATATACGTATGTGGACTATTGGGGCAACCAACCAAAGGGTAGATCAAAGAGCCCAGAGATGTTAATGGAGTAGAGTGGCACCCTCCACAGCTCATTGCGTTAAATCTGGTATTTACACATCATGAATAGAAGTTAGGAGGGAGAAAGGAAAAGAAAGGAAGATGTTCAGTTGGAAGCAATGAAGAAGGAGAGTATGTTCTTTACCATAGAAATGGGTTTCCTTTGCCTTCCCTGTTGCAAAGTCATTAGATCATCAGAGCCTTTTCTATGGCCCCAGCACTACAGATCCAGGGAAGAGAGAAAGGATGGAAAAGGTAAAGAAGAGCAGCTTCTCCACATTCCCCATTAAGAAGAAATCAGAGGACTATGTATGTTACCCCTTTCAGGTTCCTCACTTGTTCCTTTCCCTGGGGCTGTCTTAGGAAGCTGACAGAAGCTTTCTGCTGGCAATTGAAAAAAAAAAATCTGAAGGTCCTGCGGATTGCTGCTGGGTGCAAGACCCTTTGTCCTGCATGTAGCATTTGGTCTATGATCTAGCCTTGCCATTTGGATTCTTGAATTCGTATGAATAGCATCTGTTTGTTTGACGGAGAACTGGAAAGACACCAGTACTATTACCAAACCACACAAGGGTCAAGATGAAGTGTCATCAAAAGGGCACAGGGTGGGTTTGGCACCTATCTGTGTGCTATTATGGACTGGGTTGGGGGGCTGGTGCAAATCTCTACACACCACTGCAGAACTGAAAGAAACTTCAAGGATCATTTTGTCTAACCTCTGTTGTTCACAGCTACAGTATTCCTGATAGTTAATGTTCCCAGCTTTGTATGGAAACCTGATCAGTTGTTGAGTGACCCAGGAAAGACATGGATATAGCATAGTCAAGATTTTTCCCACCAGCTACAAACATTTTTGTGTTGTGTAAGTGCTGTATCTGTGCATTGATTTGGTGGTAACCAACAACAACGTCAGCAATAATTACAATGATATCTAATTATAGTGGGGACAGTGTGACCTTCTAGTTGCTGAATTGCTTGCTACTCCTATAAACCTCAGTCAGCATATCCAATGGATAGAAATGATGGCAACTGCACTCAAGGGATGTTTGAAGATTCACACATTCCCTATCTTTGGTTCAGCAATGGAAAAGGAAGCATTATTTTTGGGCTGTAATTAATGAAATGAGTGCCATCAAGTTGATTCTAAAGGATGCTGACTTTTCTATGGTTTTCCAAGTATAGAGTACTCAGATGTGGATTACTAATCCCTTAATCTGTTCTGGACCATGTAGATTGCCCAAGTCCACAAAGGTGGGCTCCTCTTCTATGAGACATAGTGGAGTACCGAAATCTTGACCCCTGTTGTTCCAAATTACTGAGCTATCCAGACAGTGCTTTTGAATTACAGCTCCCAGAACCCCATAGCAGGCGGGTTATGGTCCAAAAAAGCAGTATTCTACTTTCTGCATTTAGGGCAGTGGTTCTCAAACTGGGGTGCTCAGATGTTCTTGGACTGCAATTCCCCACTTGCTGTGCTGGCCAGGATTTCTGGGAGTTACAGTCCAAGAACATCTGGGGACCCAAGTTTGAGAACCATTCACTGAATTAGGACATCACTTTTTCGCTCCTTCCTTCCTTCCTTCCTTCCTTCCTTCCACACCCTTCATTTTGAGGAATAGACATTTCATAGACAGATGTCATCCTTTACACAGCTAGAGGAGTCTGCTTCTCAGATTAGGTCCCATAGAATTTTGCAAATTCTCTGCCTAATGCTGTTTTAATTGGAGGTGCATCTTAGTGTTCAAACTCCTGCTGTACATCAACAAATAAAGGGATCTGGAGAAAACAGTATTAAAAGACTCTTGATCATTTACCAACCATCTTCTAGTTAACACCAATGATATCTAGAATTTTTCAGAGCAGAACTGAATTCATTGTGAGTAATTTTGATGGCAGAGTCCAATTTCACCCAAGCAGAATACAAGACATAGCCATTTGCAGTTGTCATTCAATCTATCAGTTTGAAATTGAATAATATTCACATTATTTTTTCCTCCTGGCAATCTTCCTCATATAGATCTGTTTTATGCAATAATATCTTATGTGCACAAAACAAACAAGAGAAGGAACATTGGGAAGATTATACAAAATCCAACTGAAGCTTTAGGGACAAGCTGTTCCTTTGTTTGAACACAGTTGAGACAACAGTGGTAATTAAAATTTAATGCCCAGGATCTTCCTTTTCTATTAAGTCATGCAAATTTCGTTTAAAACATAGTTTTCCTATATAACCACATAGGAGGTCCTGATTACTCCAAGGACAGTTTATGGGTAACTAGAATGACTTTTTCATAAATTAGCTTGCATATTAAATATGATAACAGTAGCAGGCCAGAAAGGTAGAACGGCTGCTTTAGCAATATTGTCCTCTTCCAGATTCTCAGTACTGCTGTATCATTCTTAAACAATGTGAGAACTGAGTGTGAATCTCTTTCGGTGAATCAACTAGATCTATATATTCCGCTTTCCCCTCTTCTTTGTGACTTCTAATGGAAAATTATTTCTTATGCCCTTGTTGAAGCTTTATTGTATCAGGAAACTGGTCAAACAGAATAACTTTACTGTAATTGCTGGGGGTGAAACGTCAAGGTGGTGGAGGAATTGAACTAAAAATGCATAAAAATATGATAGTCAAAGGTTGCAGTTTCTCTTGAGGAATCTGATGTAAACTGCAGAGCTATATTGCAGGAGCATTTCTTTCCTAATACTCTACTTGAATTGGCCTTGTAGCCAGATGTACTACAAACTGGATGATTGGTCCATTACACTACAGCTTTTAAGGACTGTCTATTATCCCCTAACAGACAAACAGTAAAATCTTGCCCTTTTGAGTGGCCATAGAAATGCAACATAATGTATTACGACTTGGAGCCCTGCTTAACAGAGCTTCTGTTCCTGCAACAAATGAATCACTGGTTCAGTTCCGATTGATTGATTGATTGATTGATTGATTGACTGATTGATTGATTGACTGATTGATTGCCCTGTTATTTATTTATTTCTTCTTCTTCTTCTTCTTCTTCTTCTTCTTCTTCTTCTTCTTCTTCTTCTTCTTCTTCGATTTTGATAAGGTCTTCTAACCTTGTTGATTTATTTAAATGACTTAACCCCCTATTGTTGGGCTCTTACTGCTATATAGGGGCTTTTTCCATGCGATTTATGGGGGTGGGGTGGGTATAGCAGAAGCAGCTGGGTGCTAGAGGGCTGAAGTAAGGCTTGTTTTTTCATCAAGGACAAAGCTTTTAAGAGCTTTGAAGAAGGCCAATTCCGTGCTGGGTATCATTAGAAGGGGGACTGAAAAATAAAACAGTCAACATTATAATGCCATTGTACAAAAGGCTGCACCTGGAGTATTGCATACAGGTCTGGTCACTGCACCTAAAAAAAGATGTGCTGGAACTGGAAAAGGTGCTGAACAGAGCGACTAAAATGATGACTGGGCTGGGGCACCTCCCTTATGAGGAAAGGCTCCAGCATTTGGGGCTCTTTTAGAGAGAAATGGTGCCTGAGGGGGGACATGGTTGAGAGGTATAAAATTAAGCAGGAGATGGATAAAATGCAGCAGCCAGACTGATTACATAAAGGTCTTAATGGTTTGGGGCCTCGATATCTTCAAGAACATCCCACAGAATAGCTATCCATCCCAGACACTCCTCACAGGCCTTTATGTTAAGAATTATAACACCCAGGGAGGCTAAAAAAGCCAACTCTAGGAACTGAGCCTTCTCAGTTGTGGCCCTCTTTCCCTTTCGGACAAGGTTCATACTAAGGTTCTCCCAGAACCAACCCTATCCGTTTTTAGGAAGACCAAAATCTGTAAAGTTGCCCAATACCAATGTTAATATTGTCCTGAGAAGTTCAAATGGATTTTAATTTGTGTATTTTTATTCAACGGTAGTCTCAGCCAGTGGCAGGGTTTATTTTATTGTATTTATTATATAGTGTTTTGATGTATGATTTTATTGTATATTGTGAACCACCCAGAGAGTGGCAAAACTAATGGGGCAGTATAAAAATGGAAATAAATAAACAAACATTCACAGGTGCATTTTGTGGGTACCTGGGAAATGGCCTTCTCTATTGGTGCTTCCAGACATTGGAACTCCCTCCCACAGGAGACCAGGCTGGCTCCATCTTTGCCATCCTTCTGCAAGGAGGGAAAAATCTTTATCTTCAGACAAGATTTTCCTTAGTGACTGACTGCCTGGAAGGGTTTTTAAAATGGATCATTGTACCTTACAGCTTTAAATGTGTTTTTGGAGTTGCTTATGTTTATTATATGGCATTTGTTTGATCTTTTTTTAGTATTTGTATACTCACTGTTATTAGCTTTAAATTCTGATGTAAATTGCCTTGGGTCCTTTTTAAGGAGAAAAGCAGAGTAAAAAAAAATAAGGAGAAAGGCAGGGCAAAAAAATAATAATTCAATGAATGAATGAATGAATGAATGAATGAATGAATGAATGAAAAAAGAGCTCTTTTTACACAGATATATTAGTCAACAGATTTGTTGTTCTAAATGGCCACTAAAATTTACCATTTACATAACCAAACTTCCACAGTCCAGATCCACCATGTGAACTATGAGACCTGACTTAGCAAGAGTCATCTACGCTTTAGGCCGTGGTCAACCCCCCACCCCCTTTTGCATTTGTGTTGATGTGGTGGTTAACTTCTGTAAAATGGTCTCAAGAAGAAGCTCTAAATGCTTATTGAATTGGAAGGAAATGACTCAGTAACTCAAAAACACATTGGGACACACCTCCTGGAATAAAATCTATGTGCAGAACAGGAATGTGATTAAAAGTTTTGTAATCACAGGTGGACATTTTGCTGGTGCAACCACGGCTTTAGTTACATCATGCCTTGACTACTGCAGTGCAGTTTACATGGAGTTACCTTGAAGGTTTGGGATCTTCAACCAGAGCAACATGTAGCAGCTAGGATGCCAACTGGTGCATGACATTCTGATTGTATGACCTCCAATACTGAAAGACCTTCACTGTTGCCAGTTGCTCACTGGGCTCAGTTTTAATCTTTAAAGCTCTAATTGGGCCCTGGTTATCTAAGGCAGTGATCATCAGCCTTGGGTCTCCAGATGTTATTGGACTACAACTCCCAGAAGCCTTCACCACCACCTCTGCTGGCCAGGATTTCTGGGAGTTGAAGTCCAAGAACATCTGGAGGCCCAAGGTTGGGGGCCACTGATCAAAGGGATCACCTACCTTGTTATGAATCTCTCTGGACTTTAAGATCTTCAGGAGAGGACTTCTTAAAAATACGAATGCTTTCAGAAGCCCAACTAACAAGCACACCAGAGAGGGACTTCTGCGTGGTTCCTAAGCTATGAAATGCACTCCCTTCCAGGTTGTGTGATCTGTTTCCACTCTGACTGCTTTTAAGAAGGGAATAAAAACACATCCTTTAGAATTAACATCCCCTCCACCCTTTCACAAGGGTGAACCTGCAGGCAGCTTTCAGTGTGAAATTTTCTGACATCAGATTTCTGTATCATTGAGACTTTGCAGAATAAGGTTGGACATTCTTCTTTTCCAGTAACATGGAGCAGACAGTGTATAATATCTATCTTCTACTGAAGAGATTCCCTGGAGAAAGTTGGCTTTTTGTTAAGACTGACTTCCATGTAAACTGTCACCAAGAAAAGTATGAATTGGCACTGCAAGGAAATTGTGTGTCTGGCTCAGAACATCACAGAGATTGCTGTGGACTGGGTGGACGGGCAAGGACAATGTAATGACATAGGTCAGGAGCAGCAATGAGGTGGACACCATAGGGGCTCAAGGAAGTGGCAAAGCTTATTCAAGAAACTTTCTGCCTCATCACAACTATTTACTGCTTGCTGTTACATGAACACTCTTATTCTAACTTGGCATCAGTGGCAGCGGCATCAGCAGCAATGCAAAACTTAAGCTGAGTTATTCTTGGCCTACAATGATAGCTATTTAGAATACATCTGGGTGGCACTTTTGAAAGGCATTTTGAAATTGCATTTACCTTCATGCACCAGAAGGAGACAGCTGGGTCACCCAGAGTTGCCTTGTTGTAGAATTCACTCAGAATTAGATCCACACGGTCGGCATTCTGCTGCATTGTTACCTTATATTTCAACTACTTCTGAAAAGTTTCTTTAAAAATAAATGAATAGAAAACATCTGGAATGTATCCACATATAATCCCAAATTGCCAATTGCTTTTTGCTGTCCAGGTACCTTCTTTGGTTCCAGCCTCTTTAAGGTATTGAGACAGTTTGAGGGGCAAACCACAATGCAGCAAAGTAGAAGTAGGTACCTTGGTATGTATGTATGTATGTATGTATGTATGTATGTATGTATGTATGTATGTATGTATGTATGTATGTATGTATGTACGTACGTAAGTACGTACGTACGTATGTACGTATGTACATACAGTGGTGCCTCGCATAGTGAGGTTAATCCATTCCGGATTAACCCTTGCTATGTGAAAACATCGCTAAATGGAACATAAAAACCCATTGGGCCCTAAACTTACCGTTCAGCGAAGTTTCCTCC